GATAGATCTGCAAGGACTTTAACATGGTCCCACACTACATCATTTTCTCAAAGTTGAAGAGATTTGAATGGTTAACTACTCTGTGGATACAGAACTGGTTGGATGGTTGCAGCCACAGTGTTGTGGTCAATGGCTCTGTGTCCAGTTGGAGGCTGGTAGTAAGTGGAATCTCACATGGGTTCATCTTGGGATGATTGTTCTTCAATTTCTGTATCAACAACTTAGACAGTGGAATCACTCTCAGCAAGTTTGCTGATGACACCAAGCTGAGTGGTGCAGCTGATAAAACAGAAGGAAGGAATGCTATCCAAAGGGACCTGGACAAGCTTGAAAGTCTAGTGAGGTTCAACGAGGCCAAGTACAAGGTGCTACACTTGGGTCACAACAATCCCAGATATGTGTACAGGCCAAGAGAATGATGGTCTTTAAGATCTCTTCCAACCCAAGCCATTCTGTGATTCTGTGATCTGCTATGTTCTTTGAATGATGAAAACAAATACAATCTTCAGTTTTGGAATAGAATGAAAAAAGTGCTCAAAGGAATGACTATATACTTAGTGTTTCCAAAAGGGAGAGAGATGATTTTTTCTTCAAAAGACTAAGAGTACAGAGAATAGCCCGACATAAAGAACTGGCTTGAGAATCAAAGAAAAATGAGCATAGTTACTAGTCTAATGAAAACACAAAACTAGTGCTAGAAAACAGAATTCATTGCAGGCCACTAATTCCCAAAGCCTGATGTTGCACATACAGTCCCAGATTCTCAGAGGCTCCAACAGTCTCTGATATAGTAAATGGCAGCACTCACTGGATCCAAAATTTCTTATGAATATGTGGTTTGACACATCATATTTCCACTTTTGCAGGATTAGAGGATTGCTGTTTCTCACATGATCATCTGCTCATGCTACTTACTCCCCATCTGCAGTCACTGTCTGCATATGCTGTGAAAATTATTGTCATCATAGATCAAAGATTATGCCTCCAGAAGACAGACTGCAGGAGGAGGAGAAGAAAAACTCAAAAAATATGGGTTGCATCAATATCACATAAAGTGCATTCTGTAATAAAGAATGAAAGGTTCACTACGGAAAGGTTCCCCATGAAAAATCACAAGTTTTTTTCTTTTTAATTATAAATCCTACCTGCACTTTTTCACATTCCTGGGCATGAAAATATCTGCTTCTTTTCTGAAGTTCAGCTGCACCAATGAGATCAGGGGATGTGCAGGAAAGCTGCCAGACACAAACATCATTTATTTTTTCCTTCAAAAGCAAACAGAATTCCAACCAGTGTGACATACCTAGCTCACAGGCTTGTCAGAGGTGTGTCCTGCTATAATGGTTGCATTGTCTGCCTTGAAAAGGGTTATGTTGGTGCAGAAGTTGGCAAGAAATTATGAAAGATTCAACATGAGCTAGAAGTGTGTGCTTGCAGTCCAGAAAGCCAACCATATCCCAGGCTGTATCAAGAAAAGTGTGACCAGCAGGTTGAGGAAGGTGTCTCTGCCCCCCTACTCTGCTCTCATGAGACCCCCCATGGAGTACTGTATCCAGTTCTGCAGCTCCCAACAAAAGAAGGACATGGAGCTGTTGGAACAGGTCCAAAGGAGGGCCTCTAAGATGATCAGGGAGCTGGAGCTCCTCCCATGTGAAGACAGACTGAGAGTGTTGAGGCCTGGAGAAGAGAAAGCTGAGAGACCTGATAGCAGCCTTCCAGTACCTGAGGGAACCTACAGGAAAGCTGGGGAGAGGCCTTTTATAAGGGTAGATAACAACAGGACAAGGAGAAATGGCTTTAAACTGGAAGAGGGTGGATTTAGACTAGATATCAGGTAGAAATTCTTTACTGTGAGGGTAGTGAGACACTGCAACGTGTTGTCCAGTGAGGTTGTGAATGTAAGCACTCAAGGCCAGGCTGGATGGGGCTTCGAGCAACCTGGTCTAGAGGGAGGTGCCCCTGCCTATAGCAGGGGGTTGGAACTAGGTGATCTTAAAGGTCCCTTCCAACACAAACCTTTCTATGATTCTATGATTCTAAATCTGAAATCTCAACTGTGGACACAGTGAACATTAAGCTGCCTGGATCCCCCGATTTCTACCTCTCAGAGGTGCATCTGTAGTCACATTAACATTTTGGTCTATCACTTGCACAGTCTGGAGGAGACAATCTTTATCCTATCTTTATGTAAAGAGTTATAACAGAATCATCGAATTGCTCAGGTTGGAAAAGACCTCAAAGATCATCAAGTCCAACCACAAACCAACCATACTACCCTAACTCTAACAACTCTCTGCTAAATCATGTCCTTGAGCACCACATCCAAATGGTTTTTAAACACATCCAGGGATGGTGACTCAACCGCCTCCCTGGGGAGCCTATGCCAGTTCTTAACAAACCTTTCTGAGAAGAATTTCTTCCTGATATCTAATCTTGAAAATAAAAATGTAATACATCTGTAATTTTAAGAAAAATAATAAGTATTAAATAAAATTGGAGTTTTAATTACAGTAATGTCTATCAAAGAATGAGTGTTCAATTATAGCTGAATTTCAAACTCAAATCAGATCAGTCGGCACAGTATAAATGCCTACAGCTATACTACACTCAAACACTTTTTACCAAGGTCAGTTTTGATTTTGAACAGTTTATCTGAAGGAAAAACAAACAAACAAACAAACAACCCTGCTACATTTAAAACCCATGTAAGCACACAGAATACTCACTCAGCTCTGTCAAACAATGGCTTCAACCCGTATACTTAAAGAAATGCTTAAGACTTAGTAAGAGGAGTATAAAAGTACTGCTTACACATTTTCCCAGCTGTACTACTGTTAAACATTTATTCAAACCAGAAGATCTTAAAAACACAGTTTAGATCAACTACGGCTATTTACTTTTTGAATTCCTGCTCTAACAATGAAAAGGGGAAGTCGCTTTCATTTCACATTTTAAAGTCAGTTCCACTGCATATTTTTATCTGAAGCCACTGGAACAATCAAATTATTTGTGTTAAAGCAACTTTTAAAAAGAACTTATTTTGTTACAGAATCTTTATCTATTTTATTTCTATTAAAAGCCCTCTTCAGCAAACTGTTAAATTTGAGATAAAATGGCATGTTCTTTTAGAAAACATGCCAAAGGCTAGTAACAAGTCTGTGACAAAAATCACACTTTGATCCCAAAATGCCTTACAGAAGCACAGCTCACCTCTCCTCAGAAGAGGTTTTGGGGCAGAAGAGAGGTCCTTACATCCTCTGTCCCTGAGTGCCACTCAGGAAAGAGTTTTCACTCCTGTATCCAGCCACATACATTGGACTTGCAGCATGGAAAAGACCAGACCAAAGCAGCTCAGTGATCACTCAGCACAGGGACTGAGTAACAGACTAAGAGCTCATCTGTGTTAAAAAGAGAAAAATGTAAAAATCTCAGCAAGGTTACAACATTACAATACAGCATAAAGGACAGGAGACTCCTTGCTGTGCACGGCAATGCATTGGTGATGTCATCCAAAATCTGTGGGAAGGGGAAAGACATCTGGAAACAGGCTTTTCCCTCGGATGTGGGGCAAGCTTTAGTTACAGCTCAGGCGCAGGAAGAGAGGCTTAGCCTCTTTTGTTCCTGCTGAATTTCGGCCTCTCGGTGGATGACTTCTACCAGGGTGCATTCCCAAGGGCAGCTGTAGGGGAGGAATTACAGGAATGCTGGCAGCAGCTCCCCAGCTGGACTGGCTCCAGACTGCACTCTGGGCCACCACAGCTCCTGTGAGCTTCGGTCAGGCTCAGCTAAACCCTGCCTTGCTCCTACCTGCAAATCCTGCTGGGAAATAAAATGGCAGGACCACCAACTGGGACAGCTGGAAGAATTCACAAGAGGAATTCAGCCCCTTGTGCACAATGATACAGATCTTAACGACATATCATGTTTTTTGGTTACTCAAGGCTGCAGCCTTTATGGTTTCATAAAAAATACGTTGCAACACTGAAAAATCAAACGAATCATACACATATTATGATAGCAATGAAGAATAATCACTTTTTCAGCAGGCTGGTAGCAGAGGAGGAAAGAAAACCCTAAAAACACGGTAGCTGGAGGCATTCTGCATGAGATTTTATGGCTTCTAGTTATAGTGTTGCAGGTTTCTACGCCCACAGTTCAAGTGGTATCTAGACAACCATCTAACGCTGCAATCTTACCAGCGCTTTCCCCTTTCCTAGTGATGTTTAACAGCAACGTGAGCTTCAAGCTTGAAACAGGTCTCACATGCAGAACGTTTGGTCCTCCCACAAAATCAGCAGGCACGTCCACAAAAGCACAAACTCACCTACCAACCACCAGACAACACATTCTGGACGTATAGAATCCTCCTGAACTGAATGATATCCCTGTGCAAACAGCCACAGGGCTCAGCACTGGGACCGACGAGCCAACAGCCACATATAACGCCGGTTAGGGCATAACCCTACTGTAGGTTAGGGCATAACCCCTTCCCTCATTGCGACCTTTGAATCCTATCATTGCGAGAGCTGTAAAAATGAAAGAGCCCTGCGGAAGGGATGTGCTCACACCTCCACTTCAGGCTGGCTCAACGTCAGCGCTCTCACCACAAACATCCCCTCGCGTGTCTCCGAGGGGCACAGCTCACACACACACGCACGCCCACGAGGAAGAAGGCTGGAGGGAAACCCCAAACCAACTGGCTGCCCTTCCACCTTCCACCGAAGAACAGCGCGCTCACTTCAGGTCCTTGGGAAGAGAAGCCCACCCAGGGCTTGGCTGAACGCACACATAACCCACATGCAGCTCCACAGAGCTCTCTGCGGACCCCTGCAGCTCTACGCGAACAGCCCTCTCCCTCCCGCAGTCTCGCAGCTGCTTTTGCCCTTCCCGAGGAAAACCCGTGCAGACTCCCGAGGATAGGAGCCAGGCGGGGCTGCCGCTCGCCGCCTCTCTCCCCGCGCCCCCGGCGAGACCCGGACGGCCGTGCCGACCTCACGTACCTGGCGGCGGCGGTGGGGCCGGCGGGCACCACAGGTGCTTCCCTAGGCCGGGACGGGACGAGGAGAGCGGGCGGGCGGCAGCGGCAGCAACAGCACCGCCCCGGGGCCGGCCTCACCTGCGGGCGGCCGGAGGAGGAGCGAGGCCGGATCGGGGCACGGAGCCTCCAGCCCCCTGGAGGAGGCGAAGCTCGAGGCGGCCGCCCTCACCTCAGGCACGCAGAGGGGAGAGAGGGGACAGTCTGCCCCGGGGCGGCTTAAAGCCAGTCAGGCCGCGAGGAAGAGGCACAGCGACGTCCCAGATCCTTTCACTTTCCCTTCCCGCTGCAGGAGCTGGCAGGAGGCGTGAGGCTGAGGGTGCTGCCGCCCTGAAGGGTCGCTCACCGTCCCAGCTCCGCACTCGTGTAGCCTGGGGTTTAACTGAATTGGTCCAGTGGGGAGTAGGAGAATAAAACCGGATGCAAAAACAAGATATGGAAATTAATCTCATTTTAATGCCTCTGTTGATGAAGGGGAAAGAAAAATCAGATATCAAGTTTTTGAGAGTTGCCGTCTGAGTACAGGAGTGAACATTCAAAGAATGGCAACAAAGCTTGTGAAGGGGTTGGAGAATATGTCCTGAAAGGAGCAACTAAAGGAACTGAGGCTGTTTAGTCTGGGGAAAAGGAGGGTGAGGGGAGAGGAGACCTTATTGCTCTCTTCAAATTGTGATCTTCAAAGGTAATGCAGTGAGAGCGGGGTTGGTCTCTTCTCACCAGTGACAGGTGACAAGATGAGGGGAAATGGCCTCAAGTTGCACCAGGGTAAGTTTAGGTTGGATATCAGGTAAACCTTCTCTATAGAAAGGGTTGTTAAACTCTGGAATAGGCTCCCCAGGGAGGTGGTTGAGTCACCATCCCTGGATGTGTTTAAAAACTGGATGTGGTGCTCAGGGACATGGTGAGATGTTAGGGTAGTATGGTTAGATTGTGGTTGGACTTGATGATCTTTGAGGGCTTTTTCAACCTGAGCTATTCTATGATTCTATGATTCTATTGGCAAAACCACCCTCCGTAGTTCACTCAGTGATCTGCAGCAGAAAAGCCAAGTAGAGCCCTTGTGCAAGGCCTGTGCAGTGGCTTTGCTCCATCCATCAGGGGAGTGAACAGGTGACAGCTGCCCAATGTAATGTCACAGCCTATACAAATACATATACCCTACAGATGACTGACAAATAACTTTTCACATAGCTTTTTCACTAGTGTGTGACACCAGTAGCTCCTCCAGGCTACCCAGACACCTGTATGCCTTTAGGAGTGATCCAAAGTACCATTAGCATCCTAATAAAGATAAAAGACTCCAAATTAGTGTTCTGTCCCAGTTTTGCCTGAACCGTTCTGTTTTCAAAGTGCTTCCTTGTACTCATGATGAGAAGTGGTCACTGCCAGAAGGAGGGTGGGTGTTTGGGAAGTGAGCTGAGATAAAGGGGAAAAAAAAAAAAAAAGACACAAAAAGAGGCACCAAGACACCACTTTGCTGAGTCACGAATTGCCGGATGCTTCCATGATTCCAGGAAAATGTTGTCAGACTTCCCTTCCTTGCTGCTACTGGAGAAGAGAGGCTGGGTACAGCCAGAACAACTGCCCCTACAGCTCCAGCTGCACTGCATGTCCCTTGTGCCACATTTCCAAACAAACAGCAGCTCGCTGTGAACTCATATCTGCCTCTGAGTGATGCAGTTTCTTTTCTCTCTTCTGTCTGTCTGGAGAAGTTTCCTAATTACCCCACATGATTAGAAACAATATGAACGTCTACTAAGTGCACAACTTTGTATTTCTGCCTTTAAATTTCATGTCATTTCTTTCTCCTGTCCACAGATTCCTAGAATTCTTTCCACAGGGTATTCCAGTCTTCTCTGTTGTAACAGCAGGTCTTGGCTTCATGTCATCAGCAAATTTCATTAGCTTTCATTGGTTTTTGTGCCAAGGTCACTAATAAAATTTTAACTAAGATTAGTTCTGAGATCGGTCCCTATGGAATTGCGTTATAACATCCTTCCATCTAGAGCTTCCTTTTCAGCTCACGCTATTGTCCTTACTTTTCATTTCTTACATTCATCCACATCTCTTCATCTTAATTAATATTTTCTCGCATGGCATCCTCTCAAATGTTTTATTGAAGTCCAGATAGATTTGATCTATGCTATTTTCATTGTTTGAAAAAATGATTTATCAGAGAAAGATATGGGCTTAGTCTGGTATATTCTTTCCTTGGTGAAATCCTGTTGCATTTTAACAAGTTGTGCATTTACCTCCACATCTTTAATTAGTTTTTCATTCAACGTTTGTTCTAAAGCTTTGTGTACTAATAAGGTCAGATAAAAGAGCCTGTAGTTGCTTGGATCACTTTTTTTCTCATCAGGTCCCCCAAAAATTCTCCAGACTTTTCCAAGTCTTTCCTGAGCTGTGTCCTTTAGGTGTGACCTGAAATTAAAGCACAGCATGCCTGTGATTGATTTGGACTTACTCCTCAGACTGAAAAAGCCAAATGTTACATATACTTTTTTGCCTCAAAGACTGCCTCAGAGGTCTCTTCTGCAAAACCTTGCAATCAAATTGCATGGTTCCCAGATTAATTGACCATCATGCCTTTATGCATGCAATCTGAATGCCCTAAGATTGCTTCGTGTATGTTTCAAATGCATTACTTTTTATTTGTATTTTTATCGTTTTAACATTTTTTCTGCAACCACAAAAGAGCTCAAAACAGTGCTTCTAGTTTCTTCTTTATGAACACTTCCAATTAGTAGATGTGGAATAAAACTTATTATTTTAACGTAAATCGTTTTGCTTGCGTCCAATTGTAGCCAACTGCTGTCTCAAAATGAGGTGTGGAAGTAAAGTTCATGGATAAGAGAATAGAGTTTGTCCTACAGAATCCAAAGAGTGTTATTTCTCTTGCATTACTTTGGTCTAAGAAATCACTTTCCATGGATTTTGCCACTTCCTTAGTTACTTCCCAACTGACTCCAGGCTGCTTTCTTCTAGATGGTAACAACCATGGTGAGGTCCTTGCTGAGAGTTTTAATTCCTCAGAGCCGTAGTGCAAACAGGATGGGAGGAAGGCAAATACACACATTCAGCTGGACTACCACACTTGCATATCCGCACCTGAGCATGAAAGTTTACCTGACTTTACCTTATCTCCTCTATGTCCTTTTGTGTGTTTGAGTAAATAGGATGTTTAGAGAACTTCAGATGGGCACCCACCCATGTCTCTGAGCTCAGTTTGTAGAGAAAGATTATCTGGAAATTTTGAAGAGGGGAACTTCCAGTCCCTGAGATCTCCTGAGCAGCAGAGGTCAAATCAGAGCAGTGATGGCTGCAAGGACTGTAGGATCATCACTGAAAGACTTTAACTCAGTCGTTCACCATCTCCCTTTGGGTGAATGTCATCATGAGGTGTATATCACTTGTGTTGCTTTAACTGCACTGGTAGGTGATCAATATTCTGTAGCCAGGATCTAAAGCAAAGTATAGAATTAGTTTCATCAGAGTAAGCAAGTTTGAGTGATGATATACTGTAGTAATATCAGACTACAGGGTTTTACTTGATAAAGGATATCCTCGGTTTTCTTTCAAAATGCAACAGGTTTGCATTGTGGGTCTCTAAGATAAATCTCAGCCCTGAGGGCAGCTGACTTTATGCAAACTGAAGGAAAGATCAACAAAGCCAGCAAAGTTATGTTTTTGAGTAATGCTCTGACATCTTACCAGGATAAGCTTAGTAAGTCATAGTCTTTTTTCTTCAAAATAAGGGAGTATGATATGGGTGAGTGTACCCAATCTGACTCTGAAATGTATATATATACCCCAGCCTTTTATTTCATGTGAACAAGAACAAAATGTATGTTATTTGTCATCTGTAAAAATATATTTTATATACAAGTTCACTTAAGGAATATAATTCACTAGTGTTAAAATTTCCTTTAGAGAATGTTGCAAACGAGAGCCTTCCAACAACAACAACAAAAATAACTTAATACAGGACACTGTGTCCCTTACTGTTAGCTATTTACGATGTGTATTGTATCAGTTACCACAATGAATGCAATATTAACACACAAATTCAGTATTTCAGCAGTATTCTTTGTATTTCTCTCCACTTTTTACAATGGCAGTGCGGCGCTACTGTAAGAGTAATAAAGCAAAAACATAATTTAAAAAGTGAGAAGAAATTCCCATTATATCACTTCTAGTAAAAATAATATATACATCATTAAAAAAAAAAAAAAAAAAAAAACTGTTTTTTTGGGGGTTTTGTTTCTTCAGAACTTCCCCCCTTCCTGCAGCCTGTCAGAGCCTTTCATTGCTGCAGAACAGAACAGAATGCAAAAAGAAAGCTGTGATTTGAAAGCAAGATTTAAGTGCTGTCTGAATTTTGTTTTTCCTCTCCGTTTGCTTTCACACATGTTTATGAACTCACAGTTGGATTTCCTCAAACAGGAAATTCCATGATAATTAGCATTAGTGAGCTATGGTGATTGCAGTTTGGTGATTTCACAGGCTCTTTTCAGAATCATTCCCTTTTATAGGAGATAAATGCTAATATGGGCCAAATTCTCAGTTGCTGGGTTAGTGTTACTGAGTTAAGCAGTAAAACTATTTATTCTGGCAAATCATGCATGGAATGTTATGATGCATAGAGTAATTGCAAAAGTAGTACTGGATGACCCACAAATACACTGAACCACTGCTGTACAAATACATTTGTTGTTTTAGTAAATAATGTAAACAAAAAGTGAAGTGAGCAGGGCTGGAAATTCCTGGAGGGAAGAGACAAATAACAGTTGAGGAAGAAAGATTGCAGATATTGATTTTTATGAGAAATACGTTCTACAACCATAAGACTTGTGTAAGAAGAACATTTGTCTACCCAGTGACTGACTGTCAGTGTAAACCTGATGCTTCAAAAAAGTTGGCCAGTTTTTGGTGGGAAAACATGACAAAATCTATTTCTTGTGAAGATTTTAATGGAATCAATGAAAGAGCTGGTCTTCAACCAAAGTGTGAGATTTAAATACCTTTCCAACTTTTTTTAACGGCTGATGAATAATCTTGAAACTATCTTTGTTTTATCAATTTCTTCAGCACTTGTCCAAAAACCTATTAATGAGTTTCTTCTACTTCATATTTAACACCTTTCTAAATTATACATAAGGTGATGACTTACACTTTACTTTCTGACATGCATTCATTAATCAGAATTTGTTCCCAAGTTATGAACCATGAAGAGCTGGATTTTTCAGGTCATTAACAACTTGGATCTGAATTTCTACCAAGAGCTTTGCATCAATTTGCATCAAGAGCTCTCTAACCACAAATTAAAAGTGCAACTCTGAGCAGAGTCTCTGTTTAAAAGGACATTATTATCATTAGAACAGAACTTAGAATGGAGTTCTTCCTTAAATCAGTTTCCAATGCAAATAGAACAGCAAACTGTAGTATCAGCACATATGGCAGTAGATTTTTATTAATTGGTTAACAATTCCAATAACATAGATGCCTACACATCAAAGTCATGTAAACAGAGCTCAATCACCATATGGAACTAGACCAAGATGATAATGGGCAACAAAGCAAGGCAATCCTATTCATGTTCCATATGGCTTCTGTTGACTTCTGTTTATTATGCTGCAACTTCAGTGTATGCTATTATGGAGTATCTTGTTTTGCTTTTTAGAATAGATGTATGAAATTAGGAATCAAAATATATTGTTAGTGGACCAAAAATTCAGAACTAATATAAAAATAACTTAAATTGCAATTTACAAACATATATACACAAATCAATGTTGTGCTTGCTTGAACCCTACCTTTTCCTTTTTTTTTTTTTTTTGCTGTTTGTTGAAGATGATGAGTAAGCTAAATCTTACACCACAA